CCTTATCAGCCCTGAGGTGAGGTGGGTGGGATCGGAGCTTGGGATGGCCCAATTGGCGAATGAGGGGACGTACTTTTGGCACGCAGCTCTGCTCCACAGCAGTTGCGGGGCCGCCAAGGACCTCTAGTGGGGCCGTGCCGCCGTTGACCCCTCACTCTCGCCCTCTCTTACATGGCACCTTCGGTTCACACTCACAGATGGAACCTACAGATAGTGTAGTGTACGATACTCCTGGGAAACAAACAAACCCGGGGAGGGTACCTTACCTTACCTTACCTTATACAGTAAGCTCCTCCAAATCCCTGAAGCTGTCCATCCTGCCTTGCCCGGCTTGCCTAGGGTACTTCTGCTTGTTCAGTGATTACAGAGTACTCCGTACGGATAGTATTACTTCATAGATCGTACCTATCTACACGGACGGACGACTCTACTGCTGCGCCATATCTTTTCTTTCCAGGGACATGATCCTTCCATTGACACGTGCTGATACCCAGCGCATTCTACGGCCGACTTGTCATTTCCCCATTCATCTTGTTCCACGCTGTGGATGCTGTGGGTGGTGCTGACCTTGTCCCTGTCTCCCCGATACCTACCTTACACTACTCCATACACGGGACGGAACTATACACATACGCTACTAAATCATCACAGGGAAGACATCAGACGGCTATACCGAATGCAAGCATGTGGCCCGACCGACATATTGCCAGGGCATATTCAATCTGCAGCCTTCCACGAACTGCTCAGCATCATGTTGCGAGACTAGCAGTGCGTTGGTCATTGTAAACCACCTTTTCCACACCGGGGCCCTCATCAAACCTATCCGTCATCGCAGCCGCTGGTAGTCTTGGCAAAATAACCACCACGCCCTTCAGGCTCCAGAAGACCGACCTACATAAGAAGGGGTCACCTCGACTCGCGTCTACTCAAGTGACCGACCGCTTCTCTCTCTCCCCGTCTCTCTCATTTCCAGCTCCCGCTCCAGCTGCCGCAGTCCTTCCTCCCTCGGCCTCCCCCCCCCCCCCCCTCCCCGGCGAGTTCTCTCTTGATCGCCGTGTCCCATCGTTGCGCGAGACATCGACCAGTCATCATCGGCCGCCAGTCAAGATGCATTTCAACTCCATCGTCGTCTCGAGCCTCGTGGCTGTCGCTTCCCGCCAGGTCAATGCTGTCCCTTGTCCCAAACCAGCTCCTGTCTACAAGCCCATCACCAGCATTCAATTGGGCCCGAGACCCTACTGGCTGGTCAACGACATGGACGAGGGCCCTTTGAAGGAAAAACTGCAGTCGTGCTCAGAGCAGCCCATCAAGCCCTCCACCTGGAGCATTGGGCACCGTGGCGGCGGTACTCTGATGATCCCCGAAGAGTCAGTCGAGTCAAACCTTGCCGGTGCGCGTATGGGTGCTGGCGTTCTCGAGTGCGATGTTGCCTTCACCAAGGACCGCCAATTAGTCTGCCGTCACTCCCAGTGCGATCTTCACACGACGACCAACATCGTTACCATACCCGAGCTCAACGCCAAGTGCACTACCCCCTTCACCCCCGCCGGCAACGGTACGGCCGCGACCGCCAAGTGTTGCACCTCGGACATCACCGTCGCCGAATTCAAGACTCTTTGCAGCAAGATGGATGGCTTCAATGCCTCGGCCGTCAACCCCAAAGAATTCTTGCTCGGTACCCCGAGATACCGCACCGACCTCTACTCTACCTGTGGCACCGTTATGACCCATAAGGAGCACATCGCCATGACCAACGACCTAGGTCTTCAGTTCACTCCCGAGCTCAAGCTCCCCGAGGTTAAGATGCCTTTCGAGGGAGACTACACGCAAGAACAGTACGCGCAGCAGCTGATTGACGAGTACAAGGAAGCCGGAATAGCCCCTGAGCGGGTCTGGCCTCAGTCCTTCTACTACCCCGATATTCTCTACTGGCTCAAGGCCGAGCCCGAGTTCGGCAAGCAGGGCGTTCTCTTGGACGAGAGTGGAGATACCCCCGAGACCTACCCAGGAGCTGTTGCCAATCTGACCCAGTTTGCTGCTGCTGGTGTCAAGATCATGGCCCCTCCTTTGTACTACCTCGTCACCGTCGAAGATGGCAAGATTGTGCCCAGTTCGTATGCGACCAGGGCCAAGGAGCTGGGTCTCAAGATCATATCATGGTCCCTGGAGCGTTCTGGCTTCCTCGGAGACGAGACCAAGGGCGGTTACTACTACACTTCCATTGCCAACGTCACGAACAACGACGGCGATGTCTATAACCTGCTCCATGTGCTTGCTCAAGACGTCGGTGTCTTGAGCATCTTTTCGGACTGGAGTGCCACTGTCACCTATTACGCTAATTGTTTTGGCCTGTTCTAGGTGCCTGTAAGCTCTTGAATGGAGATATATCATAGGATGAGCAAACTCAATCCCAAACTAATGCCATTCCTCACGATAATGATCAACATTGAGGAAGAATCAGTGTAGAGGCATCAATAATAGCTTAGAAGCAGAGAAATCGGTTATGAAATCGGTCATGGCTTCCCTATAAACAATCATACCATTTCCTTTTACGAACAAGCCCAATGGATATTGCAATATTGGATCGTGTAGTTCATCAGTGAAAGACGAGAGCCGTCCACTGCCTCCCGCAGTGTACTCAGTAGAGAAGATCGTTGACCAATCGACTTACAAGAGTTTCCAATTCAAAGTGGGTATCAATCAATCAACATATGTACACCGAGCTCACCGACAAGGTGAATCGGGGACCTGACCTTGATTTTTGGTACCCCGCCATTAGCGCAACCCCGCCATCGACTGATTCCTCTTCCTCAACCCTTTTACAAGGAAAAAGAAAAAAAAAAGTTTTCTCTTGGTCTTTGCAAACAGCCGGCGGCCATGACAGAACTCTCAGCGGCGCCCGTCCTCTCGACACCCGCCGAATACACCTTCGAAGACCCGACGCCGACGCCTCCACCTCCACCGACTGCTGAGCGCACCCAAGATGAGCTCGCTTCCATCTACGAGATTGAGCGCACGGCGCGCGAGATCAAGGAGGGCGGCTGGAACCGCGTCGCCCTCCAGTTCCCCGACGCCATGCTACGTGACGCCTCGTGGGTCGCAGAGGCGCTAACGGTGGCTCTGGGCGGCAGCGAAACCCATCGCGTGTACATCCTCGCCGACACGTCCTACAGCGCCTGCTGCGTCGACGAGATCGCGGCTGAGCATGCCGACGCCCAGATTGTCGTACACTATGGCCGCTCATGCCTATCGCCGACGTCGAGGCTGCCCGTCATCTACGTCTTTACACGGCACACTCTTGACATTGACCAGGTAGTCGAGGCCTTTTCTAAAGAATTCCCCGACAAGCAGCACAAGGTGGTTGTGGTGGCCGACGTCACATATCAGGACCACGTCGCCCCCCTTACGACGAAACTGCGCTCGGCGGGATACACAGCGTTGCTGCAGACCGAAGTGACACATGACCCGGTCGGCACGATCCCAAACCGCAAGATCATCGACTCTTCGTCATCGGACGGCCCCCCGACTGCCGACCTGTCCGAGCACTCTCTCTTCCACATCTCAACACCGCCCCCAGCGCTCCTCCTCGCGCTCCAGACCCGCATGGCCTCTCTCCATGTTCTCTCGACGCCGAGCCTGTCGACCGACGATCCAACACGAACAACAAATGCCCTCCTTCGTCGACGATTCGCCCGCGTGCTGACCCTGGCGACCGCTGGTGTAGTGGGCATTCTCGTCAACACGCTCTCCGTGTCCAATTACCTCGGAAGCATCGACCTCCTGCGCCGGCGTATCGCCGAAGCCGGGAAAAAGAGCTACACGGTCGTGGTGGGCAAGCTGAACGCCGCGAAGCTGGCCAACTTTGCCGAAGTCGACGGCTGGGTCGTCGTAGGGTGCTGGGAGAGCGGCCTGGTGGAAGAGGACGCCGGGTTCTTCAAGCCCGTCATCACGCCCTTTGAGATGGAGGTGGCGCTGAAGCCTGAGAGCGAGCGTGTATGGGGCCTCGAGTGGTGGGGTGGTATCGAGAAGATGGATCACGACGCGGTCAGACAGGAGGAGGAGCTGGACGAGGACGAGTCGGCGCCGCCGGAATACGACTTGCGCACTGGCAAGCTGGTGGCCAGTCGGCCGATGAGAATGCCGATACGGTCGGCCAACGGCGAATTCAAAACCGGCGGCGACAATGGGGAGGAAAGCAGCAGCAGCAAGAAGCCTGGTCAGTCGGCTTTGGTGAAGCGCGAGGTGGGCGAGGTGGCCACCATCAACGGCGTGCTAAGCCCCGGTGCCGAGTACTTGCGTTCGCAACGGACGTGGCAGGGTCTCGGAACGGACTACGACGAGGAGAGCAGCACCGTCGTCGAGGAGGGCCGGAGCGGTGTTGCGCGGGGTTACACGGTTGGTGAAGACGCTGGCAGGGCATGAATAAGAGTGACGGCTGACGGGTTATGTTGAATCGGCGCAAGGTGTGGTAGAAACAAGACATATACATAGATACTAGTGAGAACCTCAAGATACCAATTTTTCCATCATGATTTAACATGTCATTGCTACCGTGTTCTGAAGTGCGATTTGGCCTGGACCCACCGTAGAGCACCTCACGGTCAGTCGTTTGGCCAAGCCAAACAGTCGTTCTGAGTGTGGTAAGAAAGAAGGGAAAGCACAAGACAATCACCAAGTCGGACACAGGCCAGTGATAATGGCATTGCAAAGGCAGAGCATGGCAGAAAAAAGATGTCGTGAATCAATGTCGTTAGATTCGTCATCATGAACGAGTATGCCATCCACAACATGCGCCGGGTCGCTGGAATTACATGAACCATCCCTGAGCATCGGACATATGCTCTCAACATCCTATCGTGTCATACTATGGTATCTCATCTTGTCTTCTTGTTATTCTCGTTCTTGCACAAGTCGTCAAATTTCCCTCCCCCTCCCCTAGAAAAAAAGAAAAGAAAAAAAAAAAAGCAGTGCGATTGTCGTCGATCTCGGTTAAATAGGTCTCAAACGTACACGCGACGATGAGAGTGGGAGCTGCGACGGCTGTGAGAGCGGTGGCTGTGAGAGCGGTGGCGGCGGTGACGTCCGTGGTGGTAGGACTTGCGCTCGTAGCTGGAGGACAGGCGGTCACCGTGCATCCAGGCGAGAACAGCGGTGAAGAAGAATAAGATGGTATTGATGATGCCAAAGACCCAGGATGCCTTGAGCATGGCACAGGGTTTATCGGTGAAGAGGTTGAAGCGGGGCCCAGAGATGGTGACCAGGCCGGGAAAGTTTGCGGACCAGCGGCCGTCGCGTGCGAGGTTCGTACAGTCGACGTAGTTGATGCCACGAAGGTACCAGACGGCGGCAATGAAAGCACCAACGAAACCAAGGTCGATGACTGCGACGAATAGGGCATTTGTGCTGCTGCGGTGGTAGCTGAAGAGGGTGAAGATAGCCCAGGCGAGGGCGAGGACGGAGACGATGAAGAGGACGAGGATGGAGTCGGGGACAATAACGTTGCGCTTTACGAAGCCATCGACGAACCAGGCGAGCATACCCATGGTTGGGATCTGTGGCATTGTGTCAGTTAAGGAAAAAAGTGAATTAAAATCAATCAATAAATAAATCGTGTAGTCGAGAGATGATGTATCAGTGAGGGAGAAAACGTACCAAGGTGACGATTTGGAGGAATCGCGTCGCCGCGAACATGACGGCGAATAACATAGCGGGCGGTTGGGAGCCTGACCGGCCGGGCAAGATGCTACTGATTGCTGCGTAGAAAAGATGCGATAAGATGCGCCGGCGGTAGCGGTGGTGTTGTTATTGTTATTGTTATTGCGCAGGCGACAGGCGACAGGCGACTACGGATCCAAAGAGTCTGGAGATCGACAAAGACAAAGGCGGCCGATGAAGGGGAGCTACCAAGTTAGGTAGAGTAGGTAGTGAGAAAGCAGACAATCAAAGTCTCGCAGACTCGGGGTTTTTTTTTTACTCTGTCGCTCGTGTTTTGTTTCTAGAGCCCCTTCAGATGAACGAGTGGGTGGTTGGGATGGGGCGGGAAGGGTGGTTAAATAAACAAGGTGCGACTTGTGTGTGTGTGTGAGGAGTGAGCCAGAAACAGAGCCAATGCAGGTCGGGTTTGGGTTTGGGTCAGCGAGTCTTGCAAGTTGCAAGTTGGGACAAGCCCATCCAGAGTGGGCAGCAGCAGCAAATTGGACCGGGGGGGGGGGGGGGTGGGCGAGGAACAGAGAGAGAGAGAGAGAGAGAGAGTGTGTGTGTGTGTGTGTGTGTGTGTGTGTCTGCGTGAGAGAGCGAGAGAAAAAGACAAGAAAAAAGAACAAAAAAGCAAGGCAAGTCGCAAGGCGCAAGGCCAGGTTTATTTTGTCGTGGTGGTGAACTGGTGCAAGTCGTTGGTGTGTGGTACTCAAATGGGGGAGGTTGGGCTGGATCGCGGGTTGGCAGTCAAGGATGCATGGGCCAAGGATGATGGAGGTGTCAAGGTGAAAGGAGAATGGTCGACCATTCATGGAATCATGGATGGTGAGGCAGCAAAAGGCAAGGTAAGGAAGGTCAAGGTAGCATCCAAGATGCCGGGTGCCCTGCCCGTTTCCCGTCTTTTAGTCATTTCCTGTTGTATTTTCATCCTACTCTCACTCTCACTCTCACTCTCACTCTGGCCTGTAGATTTCAATCTCACACTCATGTAGATTGAATAATCCATACGGTGAACAGGCGGGCGTGCGATGGGACGGAATAGGCACGAACGGGTATGAAGGCCTCACAATTTTACAAGGTGACAGATTCACATGGGTCCGGGAACTACTGTGGGAGAAGAAAGAGGGTTCCGGCTGCGCAGCTCGGTGCAGCGGTTCGCTCTCTCTCGCAACTCGGCTACATACTACGTAAGGTACGCATATAACCACGCAGACGTACCTCGTGTGTACGGAGGTGGTAGTGTGCAAGCTTGGTACAGAGCACCTTGGGTATGTATGGATATCGTTGCACGGCCTTGCTTGAAGGCTGTCTCCAAGGGCCAGGGACGAGCAAACGGCCGTCAAACAATGACACGGACTGCAGCCAGGCATGTCGCAGAGCGGGAGTCCGAGCACCATGATTTCTCTCTCACGTATCCGTACACCGTACCTACTTCTACTTTGCACCCGGTACGAGCGAGTAGGTATGTCTGAGTTTATTTAATTGGTAAGATCTCTTCCGGAGACTGAGTAGAGAGGAAAGGGCAAGTGATGTGAGGACTGTGAGGTTAGAGGTGTTTGATGAAGCCTGAGGTGAGGTGTGGTGAGGTGAGATGCGTCACCAGCAATGACGTCGGCGATCGGCATCCTCTCTGTCCCCTTTTGGCCGAGGCCTGAGGTGCCATCTGCCCAGTTCCTTCCCTTGCACTTTCCACCTTGCACTTGCTTGAAAAGTTGGGAACTTGCGGTACCTAAGGTAGGCCTCCGTAGTCAGTACACCAAGTACCCACGTACTGTAGCACATCACCTACACTGCAAGGTACTATCTAGGCACCTACACGGTGTTTTTGTGAGGTACAAAAACACCATCTGCCTTTGCGACTCTCTCGCGACGTCCGTACGCATACGTGGTCGTCATCTTACAGATGAGGCGGTCACTTCAACCATGGGTGCTGCAGAATGAAGAGGAACCAACGGGGCGATGCGCTCATTGATGGTGGAGTTTTTGCGCTGTCAATTCTGCCAATCGCATCGTCTCTCCGTATCACTTACAAGGCCTTGGTTTCCCGGCCAGCAGAGTCATACACCACCACGACCACCACCTCCAGTAGACTCGTGGTCCAGACTCCAGACTATGTAGTGTACTGTATCCGTACAGCCTCTCACTCCATGGAAGCCCGGACACCTGCAGCTTCAGGGCCAGACAGGCAGACCCCAAGTCCCCAACCGTCCAATGGCAAACAACTCATCCAACGTGGAGTTTTGCAATGTTTTCAGCCAATTCTGTGTCTTGAATTTCATGACCCCCGGCACTTTTACACGAGGAACTAAGGTACGGATACTCCAACCTAAAATCGGCGGGGCTGGTCATCATCATCCATCATAACGTTGTTTCCAGCATCGTTCCTCTTCCTTCCATCAAGACATCCCCATCTTGCCATTTCACAAGGTACCGAGCATCCATACTCGGTACTCATTACCCAACAATGGAAATTATCTCATCCACTCTGAAGCCTTGCCTTTCTCTAGAGCTGGCAGTGACCAATATGCCCTTTGACCGCCAATGAAGCATCCCAACAGGTATCCATCCGTACAGCGAGAAGGAACGACGGGTATCTGAAAAAAACAATCAAAGAGTGGAGATGATGAGGTGGCTGGGGCCTGGGGCCTGGGGCCTGGGGCCTGGGGCTGGGCTTGCGCTGGCCTCGACCCATCCCACTAAAAGTCCCCTAACTCGGTCCACGTGGAGTCTCAAGACTACGAGAATGGGACAATGGTAACGAGAAGCGAGCGAGTCCGGCCCACGGTACCTACGGTACCTACCTAACCCGAGCCGCCCTCTCTATCCCATCCAATCTCACCTCGTTTTTCATACCTGTCTTACTTACTTACCTTACCCTACCTTACCTTACCTTAGACATCCAATGCTGCAAGGTAAAAAAGGTTGCAATTACCAACGTAAAATGCCTACCAGGTACGTAGGTAAACCACGTCACCGCCGCCGTCGATTCTGACGACCAACAAATGTCTCTGAATTGCGCCTTTTCCTGTGCCAGGGTCCTCGTGATCCCAATCATCCCTATTCTGACCTCCAACCTAAGTAGAAGGGTGCCATTTAGGTTAGGTTCCTTGACCCAATTAAGCAATCCGGGGCAGACCATCTTGATGGGTGTCCAGACCAGACAAGCGACATACAGTCTATCAAACATCACGCCTCACTCACACCTACCATTCGAGTGCTATCGCCATGTATCTACTCCAAGGTAGGTAAGACTAGTGGTAATCAAGCAGTGATTCGTGTCTCATTCAACCAAAACAGTAGTATACGAGAAAAATTAGCGGGTATCACTAAATCAACACAACGTACTAACTAAACTATCCCATCTCCAACTTTTATGTCCATCCCCAAGACAAGAGAAAACTCAAAGCCAACCCAAGATATCTACAGCTGGCCACCTGATATCTCTCGCTTGCTACATCATGTCCCCATCCCGCTTCAGTTCTCTTCAACGCTTTTCCCTCCCCAGGCCGTGGCCGTGGTCTAGCTCGGGATTATATACAAAAGTTTGTTCGTCCCATCACGCCAGCTCCATCACCAAGATGGCCTGGCTGCCCTGGCCTCGTTCACCTCATGGCTCATGATCATCAATCACATCCAAATCAAAGTCCCGAATTCGCGGCGCCATGCTGTCCGTCTCAGACCCCTCGCGCTTCACCCGTCCGTGATTATACCCGCCCCGCGCGCTCTTCCTATCCAACGTGTCGTCGAGTGCAAGGAAGCCTCCTGACCCCGTGATGTTGCTCGGCAAGGGGAGCGACTGCTGCTCGTGCTGCGAGGCGCTACTGGAACGCGCATAACTGCCGTGGGAGCCGTTGGTATCCAAGAAGGCGCTAAAGTCACGCCTTCGAATGGGCAATTCCATTGCCTCTCCTCGGTCTACGCCGCCGGCGCCGGAGCCGCCAAACGTGGTGGCACTGCGCATGCTTCCCGGTCCGCCGCCCAGTCCCTTGACATTATCTCGCGACTGCGCTCTCTTCATATTCGTACCTGGTCGACTCGATGCCGGTGTACGGATGCTACTGGCTGTGTCGCTTTCGCTAACGACGCTGTACGCCGAGCTGAAATGAGGTGCCGAACCCGTCGAGTGGATGGAGCGGGTCCCGGTCGTCTGGTACCCAGACCCCCGCGATGTTGTCGAAGCCGGGGCGCGCGGGTACGCAAACGGGCGGGCGAGGTTATGCACTGGACTGGTATTGCCTGATCCGCCCGAACTCTCAGCGCCGCTGTTGTTCGGCGTGTTCCAGCTGTGCTGTACCATCCAACAGTGAGACAGCTCGTGCGAGGCCTCGTCTGTCGTGCTGGAGCCCTTCCATGGAGGGACCCTTGTGCCCCTGAGGCGCGGAGACAGATGATACGGCACTCCGTCGCGGTATCGCACGTTGGGGGCGTCCACTGACACACTCGCCAGCGTCTGGAGAATGCCGTAAATCAAAACCCAACGTCCCCGTCGGGCTACGGCCGGATCGACCTCAGTGACACTGTCGCTCTTTTCGAATTTCACAAAGGCGTCAATCAAGTCTGATTGTGTAAAGTCAGAACCAAGGATATAAATGTTAGTGGCCTCGGTGTATGCCAACTGAACTCGTCGTTCCAGGGCACCCGCTCGGACACCGTTGTTGGCACCTGCGCCAGTCTTCTTCTTGAACATGGAGCTCTCCTTTGACGGCGCTGGCGGGATGGATTCGGGTACCATGGGGTATGGATGAGGGATATGTGGAAACCGCAGCTTATTATCAAACTCGACGAGGATGTCTGTGATGGGAATGTCGATATCGGCGTCAAATCCCTTGTCCTTTTCACTCTGCATCATCCATTTGCGCCCTGATCGCGCCTCGGACATGTCCCAGACAATATCACGGTTGACAAGGTAGTCGTACAGTGCCCCAAAGTCCTTTTGCAATGATTGTGCCACGCTCCTTGTCAGCCACATGTCCTCGCCGTCGGAGTCTGGGAGA